GGGAGGTGTCAGGAAGGAAAACCGGGCCCCTGTCTCATACAAAGAGTCTTGTAGATTTGAAAAAAAAGAAAAAGGCCAACCCACCCCTTTTCCTCCATCGCAAAGTGCATTGACTGGATTCAGGCCTACACGCAGGTTCCCGTGGTCTCTATTGTGCTCTGCAAATTTTTGTTGCAAACAGAGTAAATGGCCTGATGCAAAGCCTTTCGAATTGAATTGAAAACCTCCAGTGGACTTTATTGGTTTTGGATCAAGCCCAGAAGAAACAGGTAAGAGCTGGACAAAACACACTAGGAAAAATCCCTTTGGGAGCACATATATGTCTGACTGTAGCCAATTCACTGTAATCGTTTAAATAAATGATGGACAGCCCCCCACCCTGACAGCAAGTCACACACTCTACTCCTCAGTCTCCACTGCCTTTACAGTAGAGTAGATATGATTAAAAAATAGGGATAAAATGCTACCAGACCTAGATGCCCAGCTTAAACCATGGTTAAGTATTATGCTGTATTACCTATAGGCTGAAGAAATATCACGTGACTGTGATTTGGTACCAAGGAACAGAGAAATCAGTTTTTCTTTTAAGCACTGGTTCCAGCTGCAAGTTTTTAAAGATGGTGATTGAAATTATCAAAATAACTTCCCTTAGAAATTAGAAAATTGAAAAACTACAAGGTTCTATTTATTGGGGTTTTGTCTGTATGTATTTAAGGGTCACATTTTGAATGAAAGCTATTTAAAATATCTGTATTTTGAGTTTTCTGATTAGAAAACAGGAACAAGAATTGCCTCTTCTGAACTTGCCTTCTATTCAAGATGTTCTCTGCAGCCATGTGAGCTAGAAAACTGAGATTCTTATTGAGTCATGTGACTCCAGGAGATGATGCAGAAAAGAAAAATCCTAATTTCTTGATGTTATTTCTCTAGAAGCAGCTTTCTTTTATTATTAAACTGAAACCATGAGGAAGATAACTTCCAAGTTTTTTGATTACTTGTGGAGGGGAGAAGGGAAGCTAGAACTCTGTTTAGAGACCCTGCCTTCAAAATCAAGAAGGCACAGAAGTTATTTTAAAGATATAAACTCAGTCAATTTGTTTAGCTTTTTAGGTTTTGTCTACAGAGCAAAGTTACTGTGTGATATACTACAGAATTTATTTAATTTACAGTACTTCTTCTGCCAGAAGACTCCTGTGAATGATGGTACCATAGTTTAAGTAGGTCTTTATTCTGCTTAGCTTGGTATAGTTTGAAATTAACTTGATTAGGCTAAGAAGAAAAAATATATTTCATTATAAGCACATACCAAAGTTATTTGGAAATACTGACTTCATTCTCAGTCTCAGATTCTTCACGTGTATCAGCTTTCAGGTACAGAGAAACTATCATTTGAACTGTGCAGATCTTTCTGTGTCCCTCCTTAATCCATTTTTACAAGTATTTTAAAAAACTGTGTACTCTATTTATTTTGGGGCAAATGTATATGAAGGCAGTGCCTTTGATGAAACTAGAAAGTGACACTGAGGTGAAATGACAAGAGGCACTGGTTTAAATGTACCTCCTATGAGCACACCTTAGCTCAGGCAGTATTCCTCAAAGCTCTTCAGAGCTTTTGATCTGTTGTTGCAGTTTGTAATGTAAAAGAAAATCAGAGGAGTTTTGAGTAAGTTAGGACAAGACCATGGCTGGTTTCAAGGCTTTGCTTTGAAACAGTTTCTGATTCTGAGTTAATGTTTTTTAGGCAAAATCCTTGGTTGTAGTCACCCAGTCCAAATGATTGAGCTCACTGCTAGCAAGTTACTTTTCATTAGCTGAGCTATCATCTGGCTTAAGATAGCACCTTCTGCTTTGTGATTAAAAAAAAAGTGGATACCTAGTTAATTACTATGTCTCAGTTGAAAAGCAGCAACACATTAGTCCCTAGTGATTGCTTTTGCTTGTGAATCCATTCCCATACTTTTGTAAGTAATTTTATTGATTAAGGGGTGGGATTAGTGTTGAGCTTTTGGTCCATGATACCCTGCTCATGAATATTGCCCATTATATGTTGTTGTCTTTGCTTTGTTTCTTAATTATCTCATCATTTTTGAAAAACAGTAAAATAGAACTAAAAACTCCAGGGACATACACCAAAAAAAATCCTTTGAAAATAAGAACTCTGCTTACTATCATCTGGAAATCTCTTTATTCTCAACCCTTCTGTGATTTAGCCTGGGGCTTAATTCACTGTGCAGTACTGATCAAGAAAATAAGCTTGAGTCAGGTCTGATTCTAGTTTTTGCACCTGTTAGAACAAAAAAACATTGGAAAATAACAGTGCCTGGCTTATTTGGGTCTAGAGAGACATCATTTAAGACATCATTGATGTAACTTTAGGAACTTCTCATCTGTGTATGATGTCTCAGGCCTGATATCTCTATCACACTCAACTGAGCCAGGTCCGTATTTATGAGTGACAAGCAACAGATAAGCACATGGACACTCACATTAAAATTAAATTAAATTGGAAGAAAAAAAGAATAAAATAAAAGAAAAAAAACGCGATCAAAACCCGTGCTTATTCCCTTGGCAGTAGTCTAGGAGAATCCCTTCAGCTTCATTGTGGTCAGCAAATACCTTCTACCTGTCCCACACACCACAAACCCATTGATCAGTATATGTATTTTCACAAGGTCCCCTGTCCCATTTACGGTTTGACAGTCAGTGGATCTTAGGGTCGTAAGCTGCACTGGAAAAATTTAAGTCACTATATGCAGAGTATTAAATCAATTATACCATTCTGAGCTGTGGTAGAAGTGAAGCTATTCCCTAAGTCTGCTGGCCGGCACCTTGAATGCTTGTTTTTATTTGTGGCCTCCCCACAGAATTGTTGTGTGTTCATGAGTAAGCCAGTTCATCACTCTACCTCCAAGTCTTTCAGCTGTAGAATGCAACGCTACCTCCTCACCATGACTTAATTAGGGCCCAGCAACACTTTGGTTAGAGTCAACGGCAAAAGAGGCTTTTGACCTCCCTGAAGGTTAATATTAGAATCTTGGTATCTGTAAGGCACTTTAAGAAACTCGGGTGAAAGGTGAAGTAACCTAATAAGGAACAAAAAAGAAAATCACTGAACGCTGAGCTTGCTGACTTTGCATTGCACGTGGCCTGTCTGTAGATGCAGCACGATATAAAGGAGTAATTACTTAACTTTTTCAGAATGGGGCTGTAGTGGGAAAAATAAATGCTAGGGAGATCTGCTTTTTATACACAAAATATGTACAAGTAGCAACTTTATGATCATTTTGTTACAGCTCTTAAAATGAGCTGGTGTGCTAGGCTTCCACCTGGTTCCTGTTCTTTTTTTGCTTATCTTGCATGCACGTATTAAATGCTTCACTACGAAGAGGCAAAATGCTAACCTAACACTGGGAGCTTCTCTCTGGTTTGGGGAGAACTGGGGATCTGCTAACGAAGACCATTTCAGAGCAAAGCCCATGTTTAGTAAATACTGTCAGGGAATCAGCAACCATGCAGGAAGATACTGATGTATTTGCAACCTCATGGGGTTTATTTTTTTTTCGTAATTTCACCTTACCTGCTATCTTTCAGTTACCAATCTCCAAAAAGCTCAGCTAATCAACACCTGGAAGTAAATGAATTAACTAGATTCACCCAAACCAGAAAAGCAGATTGAACTCGGAGGAAATTTTAATTTTAAGTGTATGTCTTGGACTGCTACCAGAAGCCCTTTAGAATGTCATTGTTCTTTGGGGGAAATTTGGATGTGGACAAAAAGACCATTAATAAAGGCTGTCAAAACATCTGTTAAAAATCTGCAAGTTACAAAATATGCATTAAAAAGATAATTAAATATAGATGGTACAGTTTAAAGGTCTTTATTTTCTAGTTTGTAGAAGTCTTCATGGGGTAGGCTTAAGCTAGGTATACCACTGGAATTTTTATGTTAAGAAAGGAGGAACAAAACAAAGACCAACCATTCCCTCCACTCCCCTCTCCCTTCCCCAGTTCCTAGTCAGAGTGTACAGGAACAAAAAGTTTTCTCTCTCTGGAGAGCAGAGGAGGAAAATGGCCGTTGTAAGTGAGAAAAAAAAAGCACATTGCTGTTCTGCTCAACTAATAGGAATGCAGAAGACCTCTGCCCTTCTCTCCTTTCTACGGGAACTGCCTTCTCCTCTACTTAAGACCCAGCATGTGTCTGCTCCTTTCCAGCTATTCCTAGCTGGAAAATAAGAATGTAATTTCCCTCCTATTTTCTTGGCTGAAAGTTTTTAGCTCTGCCAGCTGGGATGTCTGCACCGGACTGACTCTGCACCTGTGCTGGGCGCTGGGGTAGAGCTGGACCTGCTGCCCTCCCCACTCATCCCAGGGGACATGCACTCTGCTGCAGGTAGCTTAACCCTTGGGTGAACCACACACAAGTGGCTTTGCCTGTGAATTGCATTTCAGCCAACTTCTTGACTAAGGACTCCCTGCCACTTTGAGCTGGAATCCCCAGAAAAGCTACTTGAAATCAGTTAGGGTACCTATCCCCCATCTCCTTGCTGTTGGTTTTTGAGTTTTGGGGGATATATTTTTCCTTTCTGAACTTGTATTTTGTGGGTTTAAGGTTATGACTGCTGTCTGAAAATCCAGGCTTGGCTCACTGACAGCATACGTCTGATTCTGTGTTAGGGATTGTTTGTGTGCCTGTGTGTGTTGCAAAGTCCCTGAACTGTACCAGGATCTCTGGCAGCGGGTCCTCGTGAAGCACCAGCCTGGCTGGCATTATAAAGGAAATGGTGAAGTGCATTTCAGGCAAAAGAGATACACCACAGGGTGTACTTAAAGTGGAGATGACTTATAAGGTGAACTTAAAGGTTCACCTTTTGTTCTAATTGACAATATTTTGGGAAGACTGTGACCTGCAAACTCACCAAGCTAACATCATATCAAGGAGAAGGGGAATATGTCCAAACTGAATGCTCTTTAAGTAAATCTGATTTCTAACCCGACTGCAGCCCAGAAAGGACCAGACGGGGTCATCATTCCCAATAACTACTGTGACTTCTGCCTCGGAGGCTCCAATATGAACAAAAAAAGTGGCCGGCCTGAGGAACTTGTATCGTGCTCAGACTGTGGGCGCTCTGGTAGGTGACTCCTTGTTGCAACTTTCTTGTACAAAGGCGTTTGTATGATTTGGTTTTTGCTCCTTCTGAAGATTTTGAAGAAAGGCAGTGCATTTGGGAGGGGATAGAAGATGAGGTCTTACCTCTTGACTGTGTTTGTGGGAAAGGATGACTGGGAAATTTTCTGTCATAAAACCCATTGTTGGATTCACATTTTTAAGCTACTGGGGTCCTACAAAATAATAAAGTTTTAATGTATTTATTGGCTTCTGTGAACATTGGTACATGTACAAGTTGTTCTTCAAATGGAAGGAGAAAATCCTATGACAATGTTAAAGAATGGGCTCTGTCTTCAAATGCTGCAATTACAACTATAAATTACTTACAAGATTTATGAAAGTTGCATGACAAGCATTTCCATTGATTACACATTTCATGCATTTCTTCATCCAAAAAAGAAAGAGGGAGGAAATTACAGGGTAAGGATGGGGGTAGCTGTCAAGAATTATCCTCTTACAAGATGACTATCATTAATTTTGTTTAAAGAGCTTTTTATTTCTCCATTTTCTTCCCTTCTCTCTTTTTAAATGTAGACAATTGTGTCTTTCCCATTCTGAGTTGTCTTTATTTCTGGACTGTTGTTTTCTTCCTTCCTTTCTTTCTTTTTTTTTTTCCCTTCCTGTCTCTTTTTTGGGAAATTTTATCCCAGCTGAGCAGTTATTTATAGCTCGCATGGGAGGTGGTGGCAGTGGTAGAGGGAATGGGAGACCTTTAACAACTGTATATTCCAGCTTTGGTCCACGTTTCCAGTTGTGATGTCTCTGGACAGTGGTGATACTAGTCATGATAAGACCATCAAATGGAAAGATGAAAACCAGAGACACCTTGGAATTCAGTATTGCTGCTGCTTCTGTACTGTATTCGCTAAAAGATGTCTGTCGCGTGGTGGCTGAAATGTGATGGGGAGTGTTCTTGTGCTAAGAGAATGGCCTTTTTATGCTCCCGCTGAAATTCATAGTAAGCCTCTTACCACATTCAGTAGGAGCAGGATGAGACTCTCACTGGCAAATTGCCTTCTGCAGTTGTTGTGACCTTTGAAGATATTCTGAAATGATATTGACTTGTCATCAGAGGACCGATAGCAAACCCTTCGTTTTTCTCCAGGGGTGTCCTTATGAACGCTGTGCAGTCAGGGACATGGACCTTTTAGTGTATATGTGTTTGCTTCTTAATAACTGAAGGGGGAAGCTCATGCGGTCTGAGGTGCCATCTTGGAAGATCATTGCCCTTTCCCTTTATTGTTATAGTTCAATATAACTCATTTCAGCAGTGTCCTGATTCGGCACAGTGAGATGGATCCATGGTTTTTGCTATTTAAACATTGCTGTGGTGATTATATCAGAATGTAACACAAATACATTAATTCCCTTGATTCCTTAGTGTGATAGAACAAGTAGATCCGTATGTAACCTGAATTGTACAAAATCAGTTCCATTAAATGCTATCCTTTTACAAATTCTGACCTACCTGGGTCATTTATAGGGGTCTGCAATGCTGTGACTGATGTGTGATGAAAGTGATTAAGGTACAACCACACACTAATCTGTAAACTTAAACAATGAAAACTCTTTGGTGGCTGCTATCTTTCTCTTTCTTGATAATGGAGAACATTTTCATTATACTGAAAGAGAGGTCATTGAAATTATATTGTTTCTTCCCTTCACAAAGTCAGTAAAATCACATCTTTACAAGGTGGTTCGTCTGCCAATTATTTTGTTATGTCCATTTTCTTTTCGTGAACAGGATTCAATTCTTCATTTCTCAAGCAATGCAGTGTACTTGTTATATGGCTGATTCCTGTAGCTGGAGTGGGGACCAAACAGTTGGTTGCTTAATACCATGCTACTGTTTCTGAATAATAAAATAGCTGTTCCTTAAAATCTCACACTTTCATTTTGCTGAGGCACAAGAGACATCTTTTTCTCTGCCTTTCCTGAAGAGGGAATTTGGAGGCTATACTGTTAATCACATAATGTGTTCGATTGAGGGAGAAAATAAGCCTCAGTCTTGCAGTCTTGTTTTTGTTGTTGTTGTTGTTGCTATTGATGTCCTGTGTGGAGAATTTCCTGCTCCATATTGAAAGTTGGGTTGACTCACACACATTTGACTCACACACAGTGTTCCCCAAGAAAGGTCACTTCTCATCTTAGCTGTTGAACTGTATATATTTGTTTTGGTGGTTTGGGGTTTGGTTTTTTTTTTGGAGGAGATGCCATGAAATTGGCATAAAAGCATTTGTTTAGGTTACTTTCACTTAGTCGTCAAAATGTATTTCATTTTGACTACAGAGGAGGCTCTTTAGGATCAGGGGAAGGACGGGGATAAAAAAAAGTCCCGAGGCTGATGAGCTACCTGGTGTGTTACATTTCTATAGCAGTGAATTTGTGACAGTTGATGCCAGTTTGAAGGACAGTCATTGTGTTTAGAGCTAACGGTGTCTGATTACTTATACGGTCTAAAAATCTTTTAAAATTGATCTAAGTAATCATGAGAAAATATTTTAATGTCTTTTGAAGAGAGGAAAATATGATTAACCCTTTCGCTGCCATAGCTATGGGCACCTGTGTTGTTTGTAGATTTTTTTTCTTTGAAAGAGAAACTGATCCTTTTTTATTTTTCTTACTCCAGTTCTACTGAGCTATGTTGTTGAAGTGCGCGGGCACATACAAGCACACACCTATGAGCTTGATAGTCTGAATTGTTTAATAATAATGATGATTAAAAAATTATGATGATGATGCCTATTGCTTAACCCATGTGCTGATATATTCATCATACATGTCAGCTCATTTGGGAAGAGAAGGCAGGAGGGACGAAGCAGCGCCAGCACGCACTACGGAGGACTTGTTCGGTTCCACGTCAGAAAGCGACACCTCGACCTTTCATGGCTTTGACGAGGACGATGCAGAAGAGCCTCTCTCGAGCCGAGGAGGTGGCTGTGGTGGCAGCTCTCCCTCTGCAGACAAAAAGGGCGGCTGCTAAAATAACTAAAAAGACACACAAACTCTGAGTGATTTGCTGTCCTTTTTACTACTAGGATTATTATTACCTTTTTCTTTTTTTAATTTTAGGTCCTTGGGTTTTTGGGGTTTTTTGTTGTTATTTTTGTTGTTTTTCCTGTGGGGTGTACACTGAAAGCACAAGTGTTTAAAGCTTTTGACAACTACTTTGAAGAGACAGAAGGTTTTGATTTTCCTGTTATTTTTTTCATTTTAATTTGTTTTCCTCCCACCTCCCCCCCTTCTCTTTCTCTCTGGAAACATAAAAGGTGGATTTAATATTTTTTTTAATAGTGAGCAGAGTTGATTTTCTTGTCTTTTAATATATATATCGGCAAACCACGAAAAATACAGATGGGTTGGAGAGCAGAAAGCAAACGCAAATAGTTTTTTTTAATTATTATTATTTATATATTCTATATATTATTAGAAAAACTACTTTTTAAATAAAATTATAAAAAAAAACACAAAAAAGCAATGGATGTCTACTTGATAATAGAACTGTTTCTAGAGAACCACTGTGGGCGGACTCTATTGGAGGACAAGGAAACCCTTGATGTGATGGCTTCTGCGTTTTGAGATTTTGCACTTACTGTAGCATGTGGAGTTTGGCTCTTCTTGTACACCTGCTACGCTTGTCTTTAACAGCCTGAAAACACAAGCAGCACCATTGAAGACCATGACCTTGGGGAACACGTTTCCATCCCTCCTTTGGACACCTTTATACTCAATAGATCTCTTCTTCCCTGCACCCCTTCATGTCTTCCTCACTCCGTTCTACTTTTTTTTTCTTTTCCTTCACCTTTCACTTCATGGACAGCGATTTCCAAGCATAGGGATGAAATATGAATGGCAAGTCGTAGACGTCAAAGACAAAACAGATGGAGGAGCAGAATCATGGAAGAAATGATATGGAAAAATACCTCACCTGTACTTTTCTTTCCATTTTTAAATTTTAATTCACAGCATTTTTTCCTGTGTCGCCCAGTTTTTTCTCTCTGTAGTGTCTTGTGAGACACTTTGTTTGCTTTTCAATAGCTTCTCTTGACATAAACCAAAGCAATAGTCATTAAAGTTCCAAGGGCAATGGAGAAGAGTGACTCCCTTCCCAGCGACTTTCCCAGAAAGGAGGAAACATGCAGCAGGATTTGAAAGGTATGTCTGAGCTGAAATGTCTTTCAGTCAATTGTGAAATCTCTGTGCCCTGGATTTTCAACAGACCCTTGACTGAGCTTTGTTGTAGGAGTAAGTCCCACGGATTAAATTGTGTTGTGAGTCCCATGGATTAAATTGTGTTACGTGCCACATTCACACGCCTGGTGAAGCTAAGGGAAGTTCTGTGGGAGCAGGATCCAGCCTCGTTGTACACTTTGAAGTGATGCAAAAGGAGTCAGTGTGTAGGTCACGTTTTGCTTTCCTAATGCAGGCAAAAATCTCCCTGAAGTGGGAGCAGGATTAGGTTCTAAGGATATATTTTTACTGATGTGTATAATGCCAAACAGGTGAAATCATGACCTCATTTAAATTAGAGGCAAAACAGATATTTATCTGGGCAGTGCCTAATCCCTTAACTGGAGGTGTGTGGTTTTGATACCAAAATAAAAATCTCAGCCTTGCAATGAAGATTTTGGATATATATTGTTCTAATGCATGAATGAAGCCTAACCAAATGGATTCTGTTTCTCCTGTTACTTTTGCTGGAGTAGCACAATACTGTCTGTGAGAGCTCTTTCAACTTTTTTCCTCCTCTATAAACCTTAAAAAAAAGAGAAAGGATCCAATCTCATTTTTTTTTATTGTTCAATTTAGACATGGAAAAAACAGTGGCCAGATTCTGCTTTAGGTGCATGGGCATAAATCCAGAATACATGCTAACTGATGTCTAGATTACATGAATAATGTGCCTTCAGAATGGTGTTGCAAAACGTTATGAAATACCTCACAATCATGCACACCTGCTAG